CCTCTCTGAGGGGGTCAAGATCTCACCCCCAATAGTCAGTGATGGAGTCAACTGACTATTACGGGATGCCGCAAACCACAGCCACTCAGTCTTGGAAGGGTTAAGTCTGAGCTTGTTCCTCCCCATCCAGTTCCGTACAGCTTCCAGGCACCAGGACATCACTTCAAGGGCATCATTGGGGTGGCCCGGGGTGGAAATGTACAGCTGAGTGTCATCAGCGTACTGATGGAAATCCACCCCGAAGCCACGGATGATCTCGCCCAGTGGCTTCACATAAATGTTGAACAGGAGGTGCGAGAGGACCAACCCCCACAGACTAGGCACCTTGGGGTCAACCTCTCCCCCCTGCCAACACACACTGCATACGGCCAGAGAGGAAGGAGGCGAACCACCACATAACGGTGCCCCCCACTCCTAACCCCTCCAGCCGGTGTAGCATGATACCATGGTCGATGATATCAAAAGCCGCTGAGAGATCTAACAGGACCAGGACAGAGGAACAGGCCCTGTCCCGAGCCCTCCAGAGATCATCGACCAATGCAACCAATGCCGTTTCCGTGCTATACCCAGGCCTAACACCCGACTGGAACAGATCCAGATAACTGCATTATGGGTGCTGGCACCGGTGCATGCTTTTGGCACACGATGACAAAAAGGTTAGCCATCACTTCTCTATATACTGCGGTTCTTATATAATGTTACTTTCAATAATAAGAATATAGCATTGATCATGGAAGGAGGAACCATGTTCTGTATGTCCTTCAGACATTTATGAATTATTGAGGTTAGGACTAAAAACTAAAATTATTAGTCACTGCAAATCCTTCACATAAAAACAAGTCTGGATTTTTTCAAAATCAAATATAACAATATTTGTTCTATGGAAGCATGTGTTTGCATGTGCATGCACATATACTTGCACACACATACAGAGTACAATTCATATTATGAATTCTGTTCCATACAAAATTTTTCTCACTCCTTTCTCTTTCTGAAAACAGGTGGTCCATTTTTTTCTTATTGAGCTTTAGAGATGGTACTTCGTTAGCTTTCTTTCCACCAGTCTCCTGGAACACTGTATTTTTTTTAAAGGAACCAGTCAAGCCTATCATCATAGCTACTCAGTTTTCAAAATCAAAAACGCCTTGATTCTAGAACCAAAAGTCAAAAAGTAGCTTCTTGTACCTATTGAAAGTGTTATTTTGTTAATGAGTAATATCATCTCACTTCGTTAGTTCCCTGAATAAATTCCAAAACTGTGAATATCATGCCTGAATTGTAAATTCCACAAGATAAGGACTAGTTCCCTTTTCTCAATCTGCAGGTTCCTCTTTGGCCATCAAATACATATGACAAATAATTTCCATTTTCAATCATTTTGGCCAGCTGAAAAATCAACTAAATGTAACAAATTAATTATTTACAAAAATGTTTCCTTCCTTTGATTTTAATAAAACATACTGATATTGCACCATTTTAAAAGAATTCCTCTTTTAACTTGACATGGACCATTTAAAACTTTTATAGGAATTTGCTTCTCTGTCTTACATAACTTTAATCTGATAAATTGAGTAATGCTGCTTTATCTGATAAATTGAGTAATGCAGCAACTTTACACAGACATGTAGATGTAAGCAAGTCTGAAAGAAACAAGGAGACCATGAACATCAACTAGCAGTCAGAAGACATTATGATAACTCCTTAATTTCACAACACGTGGACAGATTTAACCATAGGTTCAACTGGGAAACTGTGAGCATCCTGGACCAAGCTAATCCAAAAATGCTTTAGAATTCCTAAAAGTTTGGCTCTCTCACAAATAGGCCATCAATAGGCACATAGAGATAAACAACATCTACATACCATTTAAAAGAGACAATAAAAAAGCCAAAAAGGAAACAAAGAGACCAAAATATCTCCCAGCAATCAACACCCAGATGAATAGAGATTAACACAAAGATTAACATTAGTCTAACAATCAAAAAGCAAATAATACCCTAGTCAAGGAACTCCCACCTCCCAACAATAGTCCAATCAAGGAACCACGAAGACCTTCCCACGAGACAGGGCAAGCAACTAGAATATAAAATGAGAGCAGCCCCACTCCCTACTCACAGTGATGATGTTACCTAGCTTGGTAATTAAATTTCAGCAAGAAAACAACCAAGTTCAGAGAGCACTAAGGCCCCCCAGTTCAACCCTGAACTATAATTATTCTCTTGTATTAATTTATTAATTGTAACTGGAGGTACTTCCATATAAAGGTTCCACCACAACCCCATATTCAATCTGCATGTACTATCATATCAGTTCAGAGCATCCTTTTAAATAGACTGGGAATTCTCCTTGGCAAACAAAAACAACGGCAACAAGAGCAGATGGTTTTGCTTTGATTTCAGTCACTGGACAATAACTGAACTCTCTGAGCACTGACTGGCTTTGACATCTCTGTTGATCTGTTGGTCAGAAACAATACATTTTGACTGGCGGTCAGCTCTCACAAGTACTGCACAGATTTTGCTAAATCTCAGATAAACCACACCTGATTGTATGCACGGTATGCTGAGCCATAAGCCATGGTTTGTAAATTACAGTGACTGTGTTGTTGCTGAAACTAAGTACTTTCTAGCAATACATCAAGCTAATCTTAAATTAGCATAGTTATAGTTTAAGCAGTACTTCAAAAGAGATCAACATTTTATTTGAAGGACTCTAAAGTAAGACATCTACAATGTGCTAGATTCTCAAACCCAGACTAGTTTTGACTTGAGAAAACAACCAGAATGTGTTGCCTGTTCTTGTTCCTGTATCCTAGGTTTACATCTTTTTCAAGTAATATTTCTTCCAGTGTAACTCTACCCAGGAATTTTTATATTTAAAGTGCAGTTGTTAAATGAAAGAATATCTTTTCTCCATTTCCATTCAGTTATAAATAATTTCAATTATTGTCCATACAGTACTAAATTTTTAAACTCTATTAATTATACATTAATTTCAATTATTTCAATTATTAATGTATAGAACCGTGATGGTGAACCTATGGCACACGTGCCACAGTTGGCACACGGAGCCATATCTGTGGGCACACGAGCGTTGCCCTAGCTCAGCATGTGCATGCCTGCCAGCTGATTTTTGGGCATTCTGGGCCCACCGGAAGTTGGGAAACGGGCTATTTCTGGCCTCCGGAGGGCCTCCAGGGGGCTGGGGAAGGCCGTTTTCCTTCTCCCCAGGCTCCTAGAAAGACTCTGGAGCTTGGGGAGAGTGAAAACCAGGCCTACTGGGCCTACTTTGCCATCGCATGCCAAAAACAGGGGGAGTATGGGGGGTCGCACACGCATGCACGGGGGGGCGGGATGCATAGAATTATGGGTGTGGGCACACACACGTGTGACCCCATCACACTGCCCCCCACTTTTGGCACACGATAGCAAAAAAGTTAGCCATTACTGGTATAGAATATATATTTGTATACAAATAATAAGATTTCTGTAAGGTATGCATATACCTTAAACAAATATATTAAATAACTTTGAACCAGTATTTGTAAAGTTCAAACCACTTTTTTAAAAAAATCATACATGCTAGAATCAACAACAACAACAAAACATGTAAGAGTTTAAATACCCCACCCTGAGGTTTTTCCTCTCTTAATTATTTCCCCCCTCTCTTTTGTTCTTTGAATTAGAACATTGAAAAAGCCCTTCACACTTCAAGATCTGAGAAAAGTGTAGGCTGACTATGTGGTGAGGGAAAGGATGTTATCATAAAGAAGATCGGAGTGATTAATCTCTTAGAATATGATCCTAGACTTCTGATCTCACTGTAACCTGCAGCAGTGTTTATCAGCCTTAGCTGCTTTAAGGTGTGTGGACTTCAGCTCCCAGAATTCCCTAGCTAGCAAGCTGGGAGTTGAAGTTTACATATCTTAAAGTGGATAAGGTTGAAAACACTGACCACTTTATGGAAGAGTTCTAGTTAAACTGCAGAAACACCCAAACTACAAGTACATGCCAAAGCTTTCCCCCCCTAACATTCATGACCAAGTATATCTTACATATGCCTTTTGCATCAAGAATGGGAAGAAGATAAATTGGAAAGCCTTGGTTGATCAGTCGGGATTGTAAATTGTATCAGAATACTATGAACAAAATGAGAACGCTAATGAGGTACAGAGAGAATTTTTGTATGAAAGTATTATTTTTGGGACTCAGAGCAAACTTCTGGGCTTTAATTCTAAATGGGCTACTTTTCATCTGGCTGTAGTTGCGACCTCTCAGGGAACCAATTAAAAACCAGCACAACAGAGCCAAACAAATCTGTAATTTGTTCATTCCTGTCATACGCTACAGGGGCCTATATTGGCTGTCGATGGTTCTACAGTGATGTTTTGGCTCCTGCCCCTGGCTGAATTATCCTTTTTTTTCCCTTTCCTTTTGGAAATATTCAGGAAAAGTGCCTTTGAAACAAAACAAAAAAACCACAAAATACCAGAATCAAATACCCATCTCTGACTGTGTGAATTGATAGAACTATAGAAGTCAATACTTTTTGTTCTCTTTTATATATATCCATTTCATATATTCATAATTATGAATTATATCTGTTACCTATTACATGCTTGACAAAATAAATAAATAAATAAATAAATAAAACTTTCTACAAGTAGACATTTTTCAATGGGAAAGAATGAATTACACTGTGTTTTCAAATGTATCTTTCTCTTTGGACAAAAGCACTGACTCTAGTATCACCAAGGCTAGCCAGGCTCTGAGCTAGCTGCGATGATAGAAAATTGACAGAAAACCATGATTGGCATCACAGAATAACACCCACAGTTACTACAAAAATGTATCTCTAGTGGTCCTGCTAGAACTCTGTGCATCCAGGCTGGGACTGCAAAACCACCTCCATGTCCACAGATGTACTGCGTAACAGTATAAACCAGTATAAACACACACACAACAGTAAAAACCAGTATAAAAACACACACAATATCAGCATTTTATATTGGATTGTTTTCAGCCATTTATTTATTGGGATATGTCCCCCTCATAGCTTTGGGAAGGACAATTGAGAGGTGAAGTGGTGTTATCCTCCTTGGGGGAGAGAGTGTTGCCTTGAAGGAGGTGGTTGTATATTATCCCTCTTCAGGAAGTCATTGTTGAACCCAACAATTTTCATCCAGTCTTCCTTTCAGGGAAGGTTTTTGAAAAGGTGGGTTGCAGGTCCAGAAGGCCTGGAGGAAACAGGTTATGTAGGCCATGTTCAGTCAGGTTTAAGATCATGGCATAATACACAGATAGCACTGACTGTGTTGGGGATGACCACTGGCGAAGTTGCCTTATTCCTATGATGTTGTTTTTAACCCATTCTCAAACTGTGAGATAGGCTTGAGGCCTTAGTTGTATCAGTGCTAATGTTTTTCTCTTTATTCTGATATCATCCAACAACAATTTCAAATTGTACAAAACCTGTTAAGCTCTTTGTTACTCATGATCTTGTCCTGAGTCAAGTGATTAAATAACTGGAATTAGCAGTAGAGGCAGGATAGGGATTGGATGTGGGACTGTAAATTTTATGTCAAGAAAGTTTTCTGTCAATGCAAGAAGAGGAGGACAGCGCTCAGCAGTGGCAAAAAGCACCTTACCACCATCCCTGCCCCCCTCTTTCTTACAGGCCTTCTGTCTTATCAAAACTGAAGCCTGGGGCAAAGGACAGATACTTCTTATCAGAGACTTTGGGGCTCTAAAGGAGGCAAAAGCATAAACTGCTGCTCTGGCTTCCCCAATAGAGAGTTGTAGTTGTCACCTTCATATGACAAAACCATCATACTTTAGCTTGAGAGTCAAGGGCAAAGGACAATGGGCACATTGCCAAGCTGAACCAGTGGCTTTAAATATAAGCAACATAGCTTTTATAATTGACAAGAAGCAGTCTTGAAGGATAAACATAACAAAATCTAATTCCTAAACTGCATAATTTTCTTTTAAATAGGGTACATTATAGTATACCTTAAATAAAGCAGTAAAACAACAAAAATGCAGCAGTTTTACCCCTCCTCCAGTTATCCCACTTTACCAAATGGGTGAGATTCTATTGGACCAGAACATGATAGTTGATTTAATAAATTTGTGAAGAGGAAATAGAACACTTCATTACCCTGCTCCATTTCTTGCTGCCACCAGCATTTTACTTCTCCACATTGGTACTATTATCCAACTCTTGATATTTTTCAATGACTTAAAAAAACAAGTACAAAAGAGCAATCTAGCTTTAAGATTATGGTATCCTAATAAGAGCTAATCCATGCCAAGTGATCATGAGTATATAGAATATCGCTTAGATAATCCATTCCCCGTGTTAGCAAGAACTGTTGATTTAATGCTTAGATAACAATCTCTGTGATTAGTTTTTCTTAACATAAAATATTCAAGAAAAGTCCATGAATGCTACATTACCTTCCATATCACCCATACCATTAAGCACAAGCATCTACTAGTTAGTGCCAACTTATAGCTGAAAAACAGAAAGTACTCTTCTAAAAACTTGAATCAGACTAAAAAAGTTGTCAACTGAATAATGAAGTGTAATTATATAACTTTCCAAAGTATGAATGTAGAGTTGAAGTAAAATCTCATGGTACCAACTATTCAAAGACATAGAGCACATATAATGTACTATGTGATCTCATTCTATTATATTAGAACACAACTGAAACTGTACCATTAGTAATAGGATCACCATTTCCTTGGGAGCAATTAGACCCAGGTTCATTGCTGACTGACACACCATCTGCGTTTTTTGAACAAGGAAAAGCACCTCTGTTATGTTCCCCACATTACTGCACTCATACGTATCTTTGCACATTTTATTATATTTTTAGACATAGGGAAGTACCTCTTTTGAAATATCATCTGTTCTCAAGCAGTGAAAAAAGGGAGTTGCTTGTTCTAGGTGAAAGCATATACTTTAGAGGCTGCATGATGCAAGAGAAGGAAATAGAGCTGTGTGTCATCTGGGAAATCTGGAAATAAGAAAAGAAACGTTCTAATCAAAAAATATTTATAAATCTAAATGTCATTGATCTGTACCACTGTAATTTAACAGAAACCCCCCCCACATTTTTAAGAGTTTACTAACAGCCAGTTTGCTTACTAAATACAGCAACCTAATTGTTCAATCAAGTGTGCTTCCCAAGAACAAGCTACATCATATCTGTTTTGCACAGGTAACTTTAATCACCATTTTCCCCATTTGATGGTGCCCTCATCAAAAATGGAATTCTACTTGTAAAAATTCTCAGCTATTTTGCTGTGCATTTGAGAGAGAGAGTGAAGAAAGAGTGTTCATGGAAATAGGAATCATCTCAGAATTAATGAAGTAGATTTATATCATTTTAGCCATTGTCTATCCACGGCAGGATGAAGGCCTCTTATGCATGTTTCCAACTAATATGGTCCTTAATACTTGCTGATGTCATTGATCCATCTTGTTTTAGGTCTCTTTCATGGAAGCTTTTTATCAAGTGGGATCTATTCTATAATTGCCTTGGTCCACCTGCCATCAGTTCTTCTTGCTATGTGACCAGCCTGTTTCCATTTCAATTCTTTTATTCTTTTGATGATTTCGTATACTTTCATTTGTTCTCTAATGCATGTGCAGGTCTTGTAATGCTGAGCACGTACCTTTCTATGGCTCTTTGCGCCATTCCTAGCTTTTGTTTATATCTACATAGATTTATATATACATAGAGAAAAAAGCCAAGCCTAGTGCCTAGTAAGCTAAATCCTATCATGAGGATAGTAGCAAGCAAAAGACTCCATGTGTCTGTATGTTCATGGGCGCAGGCCTTTCTAAGTAGCAAAGAAAGAAGAGCCAGAGATAGCAATAGCACTTAGACTTATATACTGCTTCACTGTGCTTTACATCCCTCTCTAAATGGTTTACAACAACCTAGGTCCAGCAGCAGTCAGTAGAAGTAGCCTGCAGTACTGCACCACCACAGCTCTTATAGCCTAACAATCTCATAGACAAAAGCAAAGGGAAAGCAAAACACAAAGACTACGTCCTTAACTCTCTGCTTATATCTATTTCCCTAAGAAGTCAGCTACACTGGAGTCACACTTCTAACATGAAATGCCCCCTCTCTCTAATTGTTATAGGTTGTAAGAATAGGAGATCAATCCAGAACTGTTGCTGTAAGCTTTGATACCTAGAGCATTCTTTTTAGAGAAAAGAGGGGTTTAAAATCTTGCTCTGTTTTGTCAATTAGGTTTATAAACCATGTTACAGAGTTAACTCTAAGACAGTGAAAATTCCTTAACTTAGAGCCGTGATGGCGAACCTATGACACGCGTGCCACAGGTGGCACGCAGAGCTATATCTGTGGGCACGCAAGCGTTGCCCTAGCTCAGCTCCTGCGCACATGCGTGCGCTAGCCAGCTGATTTTCGGGTCTTCCAGGCCCACCGGAAGTCGGGAAATGGGCTGTTTCCAGCCTCCAGGGAGCCTCCAGGGGGGTGGGGCAGGCAGTTTTCACCCTCCCCAGGCTCCAAGAAAGCCTCTGGAGCCTGGGGAGGGCGAAAAACAGGTCTACCGGGCTCACCGTGCCATCATGTGCCAAAAGCGGGGGGTGGTTGGAGGGGTCACGCGTGCATGCGTGGGGGATGGGGCGCATTGAATTATGAATGTGGGCATGCATGTGCGACCCCCCCACGCTCCCCCTGCTTTTGGAACGCGACAGCAAAAAGGTTAGCAATCACAGACTTAGAGTGAAGAAAGAGTGTCAGCTTTATATTGACATTGACTAAATTCATATACTGTGCTAAAATCTATTAATTTGTCTTTTCAGCATAGCATAGTGTGATCATGTAATTAAACAAACGTTAGCTTGATTATGATAGCAAGCCAGTTTGAAATCATGGTTTGATTTGGAACACAAACTTGGGTATTTGTGGTATAAGTTCCTTCCTGTCTTAATAGTTTCTGTGTCCTAATCAGGGGTGAAAGGCTCCCGGTTTGGACCAGATCAGGCGATCCGTTAGGGATGGTGGTGGGTAGTTCAGAGAACCAGTAGCAAAAATTCCTGCCCCCACCCCCCACCCATGCCCACCCAATCGCCCAGTCCCCACTTGCCCACTTGTTGCTTCTTTTGGGCTCACTCGTTTTTCCTGCCTTGCTTTGGCTGCTGCAATCCATTGCATCCGCTAGCAACTCAAATCTGCCTGCCTGCAATCAATGCAATCGGTGAGCAGCTCAATCTCCCTGCCTGCCTGCCTTGTGCCTCCAATTTGGTAAGTAACTGGGAGCGTTAAAAAAAATAATTGGGTTTTTTTTAGGAGTTTTATTTTTTTTTTTAGACATAGCAATTTAAAGTTAAGGAAGTTTTAAATTTAGCTGCTTTTATCTAAAAATATAAATAAAATAATAAAATAAAATATTTGTACAGCTTTCTGAGATTTGGTGTGTTTCTATAGTGTTTCACTCTAACTACACAAACACACAAAATCTCATAAAGCTGTATGTGGCATTTTGTGTGGAAAAAGTGTGAAAGTTGGTTTTTGAGCTTTTTGTGGCTGTGTGAGGTTTCTGCTTGTTGCAGGGGACATTTTGGGTGAAGTGCAGCTGCGTTTACAATGTGTGTGAGTCAGTTGTGTTGTGTTGTGTTGTGTTGTGTGTGTGTAAAGTGTGAAAGTTGGTTTTTGGTACTCTTATTGTTTTGTGTACTTTATTATTTTTATTATTTATTATTATTGGCCACGCCCACCCGGTCACCTGACCATCAAGCCACGCCCACCCGGTCACCTGACCATCAAGCCACGCCCACCAATTAAGCCACGCCCACACAACTGGTAGGGAAAATTTTTAGATTTCACCCCTGGTCCTAATCCATTAACTAATCTGCAAAGATGCAGGGCAAAAAAGGAAGGAAAACTAGGAATTTAAAAGGAAGGAAAACTAGGAATCATTCACACAAGGCAAGTCTCTGCCTTGTGCAATAAAATTAAATACAAACTATAGTTAATCAAGGTATGTGAAATGTGGCTGTTTTACTCTGCTGGATTCAACAGATCCAGCAGAAAGGTGTAGATGAGGGGAAAAAAGGAGAACAATTCTGCCTCCAAAAAAAAAAAAAAAAAAAAAGAACCAAATCTTCAAGTTGCAAATCTGATCAATGATCTCCTTTGCATGAAATCTCTTTCAGCCTTGAATACTGAGACTGCAACATGAAAGGGAAAGGTGAAGAAAATGCCTCCCTAGCAAATTTCTGGGTATCTTTTGCGAAGCACTCAAAGTTCTTAAAGGCCACAACTCAAATGTCATAAATCAAACCAGCTTCAAAAACATTTAAGAATCATTCTAATGATGAATGAAACTCTTTCCCTCCTTTCTTCTCTCCCACTCCTTCCCAGAACAGAAAGGAAAAGGGTTGGAATGGGATGGGGGGAATGCTGCTAACGGAAAAATACTTTTCAGAGGAGGCCTTGCCAGGAAACCGTAGGCACATCTGCTCTTAACGGGTTTCAGCTGAAACTACTGAAAATATACATGGAGCTATTTATATGGAACAGCTTGTATACATGATAAGATTACAATTTGGAGGATAACAATGGGCTTAGCTATGGAAAAAATAAGCCTGCTAAAACTTCTTTTCTACACATGGCTGTAACATTTTACCACATATGTTGTTGAGGGGACCAAAATTTGTTGAGAATTAGGAAAATCTCAGCATTTCCAGATTAGCATCAAACAAACTCAAGATGTTTCAGCAACTTTTTGCCAAGACTTAACTCCTTAGTCTACTGAATTCCTAGTGAGCGACAACTTTGCTCAATCAAAAAGATCCTGAAGGATGTGGGCAAAAACAATTTTAACACTAAAAATTCCTTAATAAAAACTCTCCATTATATTATGTTAGGGTCTGTAAATATCTCAGATGTTCCATATGGATTAGATGTAGATTATTGTATTATTTAACGATAAAGAGTGGAACTATCATGGATATATATATATATATCTGTACAACTGAAGAAAGCCCATAGAATTAATGTAACAGGCACTGAGTGGAGCAGCTGCCATGGTGCTGAAAAAAATGCCTGGGTGTCTAAGGAAGCTTTTCTGCTTTCATCAAAATTTCATAAGCAGACCTATGTGTTGTATCACAAGCTCCACCCTTAAAGAACTTGTGTGTGATATCCCAAATGCATGTACAGAATTACAGGATAACAGAGTTGGAAAGGACCTTGGAGGTCTTCTGCTCACAGGAATCTCTATACCATTTCAGATAAATAGATGTCCAACTTATTTTTAAAATCTCCAGTGTTGGACCATCCACAACTTCTGGAGGCAAATTGTTCCACTGATTAATAGTTCTAACTGTCAAGAAATTTGTCATTAGTTCTTTGGTTGGTTCTCTCCTTGATTAGTTTCCACCCATTACTTCTTGTCCTGCCTTCCAGTGCTTTGGAGAATAGGTTGACCTTTTCTTCTTTATAGCAGCCCCTCAGATATTGGAACACTGCTATCCTAGCCCTTCTTTTGACTAGACTAGAGCATTCACAACTTCTGGAGGCAAGTTGCTCCGCTGATTAATTGTTCTAACTGTCAGGAAATTTCTCCTTTGTTCGAAGTTGCTTTTCTCCTTGATTAGTTTCCACTGTTGCTTCTTGTTCTACCTTCAGGTGCTTTGGAGAATAGTTTGACTCCCTCTTCTTTGTGGCAACCCCTGAGATATTGGAACACTGCTATCATGTCTCCCCTAGTCCTTCTTTTCATTAAACTAGACATACCCAGTTCCTGCAACCGTTCTTCCTATGTTTTAGCCTCCAGTCCCCTAATCATCTTTGTTGCTCTTCTCTGCATTCTTTCTAGAGACTCAATATCTTTTTTTTATATTGTGGTGACCAAAACTGGATACAATATTCCAAGTGTGGTCTTATCAAAGCATTATAAAGTGGTATTAACACTTCATGTGATCTTGATTCTATCCCTGTTAATGAAGTCTAGGACTGTGTTGGCTTTTTTA